GCTGATTGAAAAACAATATTTGAATATGAATCATTTTTGCATAATTACAAAAAATTAAACAATAAAGTGTTGTCAGCTTTTAAAAATATTCAAATTCAATCACAAAAATTTGTTTTGTTCTTTGTTGGATACAAAATTCATTAGACAACTTTAAGAGCCACAAATTTCTTGAAAAATATTTTTTTTTTCAAATGTTTAAACAATTATCGTGAAACTGGTTGATCATTATGTTTTCTGTGGAGCAGAATTTTAATTTAAAATATGCATTTATGGCAAAATTTGCTAAAAAATCAAATTTAAATATCAAATTTAAATATCAAATTTAAATATCTGACATGAAAAATCAAATTGGCAACATAAACAACATGCTGTTGTTTGTGGCACGACATTTAACAAAACAACAATAAAATCATAAATACTTAAAATGAGTCACAACAGAAATAAAATAAATTTGAAAAGTGTTTGGAAAATGAATGAAAGAAAGTTTTTAACACAAATAAACATTGTTCGTCTAGACATGTTGGATACTGGCAAACAATCAATTTATTATGGTTCGTGAAACAACAACACTTTTTCAAAAAGTTTATCATTTATTTTGTCTACAAAAACTAGTACTTTTCAACTTTTTACGAGAAATTATTTTTTATTTTTGGTTTGATTTAAAAATATAAATTCACATACACACGTACATGCATACATATGGATAGAAATATGAATGAATTGAATGTTATTGAACTGCATCTAAAACTGGAGTTTTGGACTTCTCCCTCTAAAAAATAAATTGTCGATAACAAAGTGATACAAACTCAAGCCAACGTACTTGTAGTGAAAAATTATAGATAATTGCGGTTACTTATCGTAATGGTAACAGGTGTTTTTATTTATAATGTGTTCTATTAACCTATATTTTGTTTTTTTAAATTGGAATAACTAAAATGGAATTTGAGCTGGTCTCAACCGAGAGGCCTCAATGTCAACTCGGCGAAGACGAAAATCTGTCTTTCTACAAGAATGACAAATATTTCTGGGCAAGAAGATAGCGGTAATGGACAGAGTTAAGTACATAGACATCACATAGAAGATAGGATCAACATGGCACATCGGTGTAGGTTGTTATATTTTCCAGAAAAAAGAGCGCAATTGATGTAGTTACAACCTCCATCCTCCTATCGACGTAACCTAACCTATCACCGAACGATTTCAACAGGCTTGAATCAAAATAAATAGTTCTACAAATTTCGTCCTGTACTTTGATGAGAACATTTAGATGGACTTTCGTTAAAATGACTCGAGATGTGATTCTTAGTCGATTAACATTTTAGTACATTACAAAAAAAGATTTCATCAAGCTAGTATTAAAAATTTATGATTAGGCATGATCGGCAATTGATGTAATTAAAAAATTCAGGACATGAAATTACTTTCATGTTTTTTATACATTTAAGTTAATTTATGTAAATAAAAACTGTATTTTTGTAGCTACCAATTGCTTGCCAATATGACTCTATGTACATATATGTAGCATAACATGATATAAAATACGAGATTTATAAAAAAGGTGTCAATTGTTTTTATAAATAATTATAAAGATTTACTGTCAGATGCTTATAAATTATAATTCCCCCATAATTTGTATTTTTATCTATAAAGTTCAATATTCCATATCAGAGAAAAGAGTAAAGCGGAAAAAAAACTTATAAATGAATACGAATTATTTACATAATGATAATGAAAGTTTAAATGTAATTTTGTTATCTTTGCGATAAAATATAATTTTCTTGACTACAAACGAATGTTGTTTATACATATATGAGTGAGAACAAGGCTGCTAAAATAATATGTTTTTCGATCTATTCGATTTTGCTAAAAATATTCCATAATCTCAGTAAAATATTCATATTAATTTCCAAAAGTTCTTTCAAACAGGCAAACACCCAATATTGTTCACTTTGAATTACGTCACTCGCAAAATAAAGGGTAACCCATTAAGCAAATATAAATACATACATAAATATGTATTTATGATGTATGTATGTATTGGTGAACATACGAGTATGTTTTTAGCCTTTTCCATGTGTAGATATTTCAAGTTTCATTTTTAGTTCATATTATATGCTTTCGAGTACTTTGGAACGTTATCTATAATTCTTCAACATAGTTTCTTTTATTTTTTGTATAATGTATTAAGCCATAAAATATTAGAAAAAACAAATCGTCTATACTCGATCTACGCCCTGTAATAAATGTATGGAATTTTTAAGCAATTTCAATGGAATGAAAAAAGAAGGAAAAATAAAGAAAATTATATGTTATAAACTTGTTCATATTAGAACTGCTGTTGCTGTTCGTTGTTGCTATCGATGTTACATCATTTTTATTTAATTTAAGTTTGCCACCACATGCCCAAAAAAGCATATATCTCATTAACATAATGTTTTTGTTTTTTTGTTTTTATACAACAGTTTTCGCTAGGCGCCATGTTGATTTTTTATTATTTTAAAGTATATTTCCTGTAAATCTATAACTTCCTTATTTTTATGGCAAAAATTTTAAAGAACCGATAATAACAAGTACTATGCCAGTTTTCTTTTCTTTTGTTTTTTATTTATGGCTCCTAAAGGGCACTTAAATTTCGGCACTTTAAGACATTCAATACATTTCTAATATTTATCTTGTTTATAAATCTTTTATATATTATTTTGCTACTCGTCTTATACCTGTCATGTTAAATGTAAGTATCGTAATTATGAGATTGTTTGTGTGTTCATTGTTGTAATGTCAGTGTACGTGATAAACTTTATGTCCTTCCTGTTTACCTGTCTAAAGCCTAATTTAATAAAACTACATAGATAAGAGAAATAAACATTACGGAGATATTTTTACTCGAATTCCAGCATAAATCCATTTGAAATATACAAATTGAAACATTAAATATTATTTAAATAGGTAAAATTGTCTGCATGTAAAACATTTTTTATGAAAATTTGATTTATAAACCTTTGATAAAAGTTTATGAATAAGACTCTTAATATGTATATTTTCACAAATATATTTCCTATAAAAGCTATATAATAAAATTTGTTGAACAATATTTCTAATAATGAATCTTAGCATTTATAACACCGTGCAACAGTCATTTTCACACATGAAAATATCTATGTGTACAGGAAGCTGTGGACCATTAGTATTAACTCTGTATACTCAGTCAGCTCTTATGCCCCTGTAAAAGGACCTTAATGTTTGAAGGACATACGATTTCAAAAGATAGAATTCCAAATTTATGTAAAAAATTTGTTATTAATATCAAATGAAGCTGAGAACCTCTGCTTATAAATAATATTATTTATTTCATTTCATTAAAAAAGAAATGGAAGCTTAAAGAAAACTTGCCACAAAAAAGTTGTTAAAAATTTTAGATTCGAAAATGAGAACTTTTTTAATTTTATTTATTTTCCAATTTTTTGTCTAAGTGAGTCAAAGAAATGATATAGATAGAATATACAGATTCGCAGCTTTCATTTGATATCCTTATTAACATCATACAACACATATAAACAATTAAAATATCCGTTTGAAATTGTAAGTCCTTTCAACTTTGAAGTGCTTTTATAAGGACATAAGAGCTCTAAAATGACTCTAGTTTCATATGCGTAACGATTTTATTCAAAATTGTTACATGGTGTAATTTATAAAATTGTTCGACCTATTATGACTGTGTACTTTATTACAGGCAAATATGCTGCTAAAATAAATAAAATAAACCTAAAATTTTGTAGGGCCAAATAGGTTAATTCCATTCTTTTTCAGTTGTTTGTCTAATAAATGTCAATGGTCCAAATAAATTAAAAATATGATGGTAGGTGATAAGATACACAATTATTGGACTTTTTGTTTAAATTGGTTCATTTGCCAAATAATTATCTATCTATCTATCTATCTATCTATCTATCTATCTATCTATCTATCTATCTATCTATCTATCTATCTATCTATCTATCTATCTATCTATCTATCTATCTATCTATCTATCTATCTATCTATCTATCTATCTATCTATCTATCTATCTATCTATCTATCTATCTATCTATCTATCTATCTATCTATCTATCTATCTATCTATCCATCTATCTATCTATCTATCTATAACTATTATTACTAGTTATACATTAATCCGAAATAACTTCTAATCAAAAACTAAAGCAACTAATCAATTAATAATTAATAAATAAACTTTTATCGCAAATTAAACACTTATATTTATAAAAGGAAGAACTGGTTCCAGAATCGTTCAATAGAATGGCTATCGTCTTCAAAATCTGAATAAATACTAAAATAAAGACTTAAAAATTATAGTAAACATTATTTGATTAATTCGCGGAATGAAAAAAAAATGAAAATTAAAAATGTTTTAAGCAATACAAACATACTTTCACATGTACATGAAAAAGTAAGCAATTAAACAATTTCAAATTATTTTACAAAAGTTATTTTGTACTTTGCAAAAAAAAAAAAAAAAAAACACTTATAAGGCTTAAATAAATATATTGACTTAAATATTTATTAACGGAAATAACTGAGGCATAAAGTCAATGCTACATTTTTTCCTAAACTTATTTTTTAAATAAATATTTGTTTAAATTATAAACAAGTTGTAGTTGTACGGCATTACTTTTTAAGCGATTTTTACTCACAAATTAAATGATAAAAACTTGAAAATAAAATAAATGTAGCATATGACTTCTTTTCAGAAAATATTTTTTTAAAAAAATTAATATTTCCGTACAATTAAATTCTGAATTTCAAAACTAATTACATACATATATGTAATTTTGGTGGGATGGATGACTAATGGGTAAATGCGATATGTACATGTGTATATTGTTTACACAAGATATAATTGCATCTTTAAGAATAATTTGCAAATGAATGACTAATGTTTTCTTAAAAAATAAATGATGAAATATGAAACAAGAAGGAGGAAAAATGAAAGAATATTTACCATTTTGTATTATTCGGCCAATTGTATTCACCTACTGTATGAGTGGCAATGGAATATCCAAAGTATGATGAAGGGTTTGCATTGAATTTAACAATGGGCAGACGATTCTCCAGATTAAACGAAGTCGCAGAGTAGATGTACAGGAATAGAAAAAGTCCGAGTGGAAAACTTCTAGAGGTAGTTGATAGCAGTAACATTTTGTAGTTGTTATTGTTGTTGTAAGTACTAGTATGTATATTTGATTTTTTTTATTAAATTTATTTTTAACAAGTATTCATTGGGTCTTCATATTTTTTTTTATATTTCGTTTAAAAATTGGGGCGCTAAAATGATTTTAGCATTCTTGTCGTCTACTTTTAATTGTGTACGTTTTATTTTAGGACCTTGTTATTTAGGCCTTAATGGTTTCCGTATCTGTGAGTGCGTGTGAAGATTTGTTTGTTTTAAATATCTTGGCAGAAATAAGTAAAAAGTAAACCAAAGAACAGAACAGGCACAAAAACTAAGCGCAAAAACCGGTCAGTGGTCACGTTGTTATTCAGTAAATTTTTATTAGTTTTTTAATTTTGTTTTTCTTTTTTTTGTTGTTATTGTTGTTAGTTTAATTTTTGATTTTCTCCTCTAATCGTTGTTCTCTCACTCTCGTGTTCACTGAAACGTGCTTATTTTTATTTTTTTATGAGGAAAAAACCAAAAGACAACAAAAATACTCGTAGATTTGTTAAATGTTTTTATTGTTGTTGCTGGTGTTGTTAGTGTAACTTTTTTATTATTGTATTTTTAAGTTATTTTTCATCAGTGTTTCTTTAAAGGTGTATCTTAAAGATATCACGGCCGGTCGTTTGGTTGTGTTGATGTTTCTTTATTTTTTGTTATTCTTTTAGCTGTTGTTGATGTTGTTTATTGGGTTTGTTTTATTATTTTATTTAAAAACAAAAAATGAAATAAAAAACTTGAAGATGAATAAAAAGAAGCTAAAGTAGTAGAAGAATTCCTAGTAGTAGTTTGTAGTAGTTGTTGACGATCGTTATTGTTGTTGTTATTATTTGACATTGACATACACGCTTAAAGCATTTCGTAGTATTTTGCATTTAGTTGGAAACATAACACGAATGAGATCGTTTTAGTAGATGGATGAGTTTTAGCGCATTCGAAAAAAATACTCGTTCGTTACTTTTACATAGATTTAGGATCGTTTGGTCGGTTAGTTGCACTTTTTTCTTTTATACTTTTGTATCTTTTGAGTTATAAACGCAAAATAAAAACACTTTTCTTTTATTTTTGTAATTTCGTTGTTAAACCGTGGCTAAAATTTAACCTTCGTCTAAAATACGTTTAACACCTCACAACAGGTACTCAACTCACTACTCATTCGCTCATTTACTCACACATCAAAACAAAAAAACAAGTGGAAAAGCACTGCATTCAATAAATAATTCATACAAACTACTAAGTGCACTGATGTATCTTGTATCTCGTGGATAGAGAAAATAATAACAACAAAATGAGAACAAATACACTTAAATATTTCTGTTTAATTTGAATTTCAATACAAACAATTTAAGATTATTATAAATGCAGGTAAATCGTACCTACTACAACAACAAGTAGAACAAATTCACTTCTTTCGATCGGCCGTTCGTTCACTATTTTCACGTGGTTGTTTTTTATACGTTTAAAAAACTACGGAAATTCTTTATTAAATATCAATTTGTTGTATAAATAAATTTTGGCGTCATTCACATAAACTTTTTATTATCTCTCCACCAACAAATATCAGATATAATATACACCTATATGTATATGTAGGTACATAGGTTGACTGATAGTGTGTACATAAATTATGTGGAGAGTGGGGAACAAAAGTAGTTTGTTCGTTATCTTATTTCACTTTGGCTTGTTACTTTTCATAAAGGGTCATTTAACACAATTTGCAGATTTCTTTACACTTTTTATACCTACTTATGAATTTTAAGAACTTGCTTATAGCATTATTGTAAATACTAACATTTTTAATTCATTATAATTTTTTTGTTTAACACAAGGCCGTAAAATAATCTTTTATACATTTTCTTTAATAATATAGGTATAATTTTTTTAATATTCGCTTTCCTACTTTTAATCTTCTTAACAATTTTTGTACTATACGTGCGCGTTCCAACGTTTAATGTTCAAATGCTCAAATCAAACTAAAGTTCACATCGTGTTGGCTTCGTTTGCTACACAGCATGTTGTTTACATGTTGTTGGATTTTGTATGTCAGACCAAGTTTGAAAGTAAATAATTTAATTTAAACAAACATGTTTGATACAAACAAAATGTAAGCAGTGGCTTCGAAACTGTCGAAATTATAATTTAACTGTTTTCCACCAAAAACGGCCCGTTAAAAGTAACTTATATCGATTTCAGCTAACTTATTTCTCGCCAAAAACTGTCAACTAAAATATTATGCTAGGATATCGACATACTATTTAAGTGACAGCTCCCCTACGTTTGTATAAAGTGATTTCTAAAATAAGGTTAGAAATCAATTAAATTGTATTTTGAGAATTAATGCTAATATTGACGTTATAGTTTTATTTATGGTAATTTATATAGATTTTATAGTAGGTATTTATAATATTTAGTTTTCCTATTTCTAACATTTAATAGCTGTCAATATGAAAACATTAAATTACGTAAAAGCCAATTAAAAGTTTAAAGTAGCAATAAAATACTATTATCAAATACATAAACAAAAACAATGCAAACAATTCTTGTCCATCAACGGAGACACTAATAAGTTACAAACAGTAAATTTGTAAAGTAAAAATCCATCGAAAATGTCAAAAACTTGAAATTGAATTATTAAAATGTAGGCGTTTATTTATTAACCGCCAAAACAAAAAATAAACAGAAACATTTTTATATTATTTCATATCGGTATCTATGTGCGGATAATAAACTCGTACCAGTTCTCTACAATTGTATTGAAATACTTGTATCGGAACACATGTACAAACAAACGTACCAGCCACTTAAATTATGTGTGCATTAAATCGCTATATAAACCGTTATACAAGAGTTGTACCTACAAATATGAATATGTAACGAGTTTAGTATGATAGATTGTTGAAAACTTTGCAGGACATCTGCATAACATCCCAGCTAAGCATACAAGTGATATTAGAGTTTACTATTTTTGTTCGGCGATTTTCAAAAAATAACTGGTTACAAAATAACTTATTCAAAACAAATAAATTAAGTTTATGTTTTATGACGTAAAGTATATGGGAAAAATATGTATGTTATTTTACTCAGCCGGAATTTATACCCGTTTGCTCAGTTATTTTCTGTGTTTCTTATTCTAAATGCTTATTCAATGCACAATTAACAAGTTATTTTACTGTGCTTTTGGGACCCCCGGGGCATGTTACCTTCATGATAGACCCCATCATGGTGTGAATGCTATCCCGTGGGGAAAAGTTGCTACCAGTACCTATAGGCTGTCGGGACTATAAACTGGGTCTTTTGAGGTGCATGTGGTGGCTGTGGTTTAACCCAAATCCACGCGAAGAGAATGTCGGTTAAAAGGCTGATACACGGTGAAATCTATAATTCTGGGACTAAGCGTTGGAAATGAGTTTGTGTATATGATACAGGATGAGTGTAGGGGTATGAGGCCATCCCATCTGCGTGATTGTAAACGTAAGTGATGTTTTTGAATATCGAAAGTTATGCAACGGAGCAGCAATGATCAGAGATTAAATAGCTCGAGTGCTTGAGCAATGGTATATAATATAGTTATATTCTTTTCAAAAATAATTGACATTAATCAGGACCACTACCACTCATCACCTAGTAATGTATGAAATAACTACTGGCCATTATCAAAAATGTCACATTTTTTGCTATGATGTATTTAATAAGAATATACAGTGCACTCGCGGTAACGTGAACACCGTCTAACGTGAACACCGCCTAACGTGAACACCGCCTAACGTGAACAAGATGTTTTTTACATTGACTACTCTGTAACGTGAACAAACACAGAAAGCTCTATAACGTGAACAATTTTTTTCACAATATATGTTTTCTAAGCATGTAGACAACATTGAAATACATTCATTAAATTCGAATTTTAAAATTTTGGGAATCTCCTTATATAAATGAATGTATATCCCCTAAATTATTTTGTTTATATGGCAAAGAAATTTGAAGTTATGAGTGTAAAAAAATCTAAATGTTTGCAGTTAAAAGAAAAGGCAGACATTTTAGATAGTTTGCAAAGAGGAACAAGTGTGACTAGTTTATCAAAAAAGTATAATGTCGCTAAGTCAACAATATGCAGTATTAAAAAGAAACAAGTAAGAAGTTATAGTCGGGCGACGCCGACCATATATTACCCTACACCTGTATACGAATAAAATGTGATGTGGTTTTCATAATAAAGCATTTAAGTTGAATTGTACCTTGCCTCAGATATACTAAAGCCATTTACAGTTTAATAAAACTGTGGATATTTAAGTAAAATTTTGATGGGGCTTTTTAGAGGGGCTAAGGGTCAAATGAGGCCCTATAATTAAAAATTTTATCAGGGTCATCAAGACTAGTATAGAACTTGGTTTTGCAGCTTTTTGTCGAGATACGAGTATATTAAGCATAATTATGAACTTAAAAGCCCTATTTGGCGGGTTCAATTCTATGGGGCCTAGGTGAAATAATGGACCGATGTTAACCATTTTCAATAGGCTTTGTCTACAGTACCATAAAAGATCATGTGCCAAATTTCATTGAATTATCTCCAAAATTTCGACCTGTAGTTTGATTACAATGTTTACAACCCTTTTTGGGGGGTACAGTTCTATGGGGGCTAGGTGAAATAATGGACCGATCTTAACCATTTTCAATAGGGTTTGTCCCTGGGACAACTGAAGATCATGTACCAAATTTCAATTATCAATTATTATTCAATTATCTTCAAAATTGCGGCCTGTAGTTTGATTACAAGGTTTACATGGACGGACGGACAGACGGACATAGCTAAACCGACTCAGAAAATGATTCTAAGCCGATTGGTATACTTTAAGGTGGGTATAGGACCAATATTATTGTGCGTTACAAACATCAGCACAAACACAATATACCCTCCCCACTAAAGTGGTGTAGGGTATAAAAAGAAGCAATTTTGAGTTGTGCAAACAACACATACCAAGGACCGGGAAAAAGACAAACTTTAAAATCATCAGAACTTCCAGTTAATGAAAAAACTCTTTACCGTTGGTTCCTCCGAATGCGTGATAGGAATTGGCCTGTAAGTGGTCTAATGTTAAAAGAAAATGGATTTTAATAAAATTTTAGTTTTATATTATAATAATATAAGTAATAATAAAAGAATATCACGCTCAAGTGTGTAAAATACAGATTTATAAATTAAAATTTCATATTTTTTTCATGAAATTTGACAATCGCTAACGTTAACAATTTCGCTAACATGAACTCCCTTGGTTTTAATTAGTTCACGTTACCGCGAGTGCACTGTATTGAAATTATTGACTTATGATCTTATAATCACTATCAGAAGGTGATGTCGTTTATTTTAGGTTTATTACGCACATACAAATTCCTACAATAAACCATCAACAACTTTATTACGCACTTAAGAATATGGGCGTTAGTATCTAAATCTGATCTGTTGTAAAGTTGAAATTGCTGAACATTTGTATTTTGTTTAAAATATAAAGTGTCAACTTAAAATTCTGACTTTAAATGAAATCTTGGGGAAAAAAGCTATTAAAATAAATTTGTTTAATGATATTGCTTTATTTTTTATACCCACTCTATTTTGATTTTGTCATTACGTATGTAACACATCGATATACATTATATATTATCAGAACACTACTGGCTACTACGTAGTGATAGGGCCTGATTTCGGTTATAACCCTAATGTACATAGTATATTCTGGATCATTGTAAGATTCTAAGACGATTTAGCTATGTCCGTCCGTCTGTCTGTTGTTGGCATGATAGCGTCCACAAAAAAAAAAGAGATAGGATGATGGAATTATAGCAAAATATTTTTTAATGATCAGAAAATTTTGATATTGCAGATGGCCAAAATCGGTCCACGATTTCACATAGCCCACATACAAATATGCCCCTGGAATATAGTGTAAAAAGTTTCAAACAGTCATAAGTTGATTGATCAGAAATTTAATTCTGAATTATGACGGACATCGCATCATAATTGACCCAACCCCCCATATATAGTTCCCTTCAAAAAAGAAAAGAGCCCTTTTCAGTATTGTCCATTTAAATTAATTTTTACAGTTTTAAAATTTTGAATTTTGGGTGTTTATTATTTCCAGATTAACAAGCCCTGGTCTTTAATTCTTACTAATTGAAATGATAAGCAGATATAAATTTTGAAAATCTTCATTTGCATTTTTCACTAGCAGACCAGACAATATAATTTTAGAGAGGAAAAAAAAACAGTATATTACCTGTACTCATACACACTTACTACATACATACACATGTAAATGTGTTCATAATGATCCACTGATTAAAGTAAAAAAAAAACACAAAAGTTCTCATAAGGAAATTAATATTTTCCTACAAACAAATGAGTTTTGAAGATTTTATAATCAGTTAAAAAATAAAAATATTGATGCCATATGTTGTTGTATTCGTACGAACATTTATTGTTTTCCGATGCGGATGATGCAAATCTTGCTTCATCGTTAATGTTTTCGAGTTCCCCTCATTTGACGCATACTCGTTAAGATAAACAAATACAAGGAGAAATAATATAAATTGCATCTTTAAAAGCGCGGGCGCAGTTGTTTAAATATACTGAAACAACATTCAACGGTCAGAGCCAAATCCAAAACGAAGATATGTATGTGAGTGTAAAAAAGATTTCAAACGAAAAATACAACAAAAATGGATGTCATTAACTCATAAACTGGTCTTTTTAATGATGAAAATAATAATTTCCTAAATATGCATTTCAAACACAAACAAAAAATCAATAAATAAATAAATAAAAAATAATTGAATGGATCTGGAACCACACTAAACAAAGATGTATGTACGTATGTACATACATACATATCTATATGCTTATTAACAAATGCATCCATAATGTTCCGTAAAAATTATGTGGCGCAACATATAGAATATTCGAAGCATATAAGCGTT